TCTGACAGATTTTTTATCACTTTAAACGTTATTTTTAGTGGATACTCATATTTGAGTAGGCCCTCTGTTATGAGCAATAAGAGATATGATTATCTGCCCTTGGCAGTTTAAGGTTAGCCAATCAGCTTACAGTTTTGACCTCTTTTTGAAGAACAATCACTCTTGGTAAGACCTACGGATTTAATACTTGCAGAACCAACCTGCTCTACACCGTTATCAGCAAAAAGTCCATAGATGGTGAAAACATCGTCTCTTCTTCAGTAGATTGGTTGAAGACACCATTAAGTTTGCAAGGACTTATTTGTAATATTGTTTAATACAACTTGTATAAATCAGAGGTCAATCATGTTCTATTCTTTATTTATTATAATATCTACATCCACCACGTGGGAATCTTACATAGGGTCCATTTCAATTCCCCATAAGTTTAATTGTCACTGGATGCTATAGTAGGTTATTTGTGGGGTTTCAATTTGGGCCTTGTTAGGAATATCCCACTATAAAAGAATGTATGAGTGAGTAAATAAAACTCGATAAACTGGAGTATAACAATAATAATTTATGTAAACATTAATAAATAGTTTCGTGTGGTACAAAAACAGTAGTAATGTTCATAGATGGCACAAGGTTGATATTTAAGTAAGATGAAATAAAAAGGATTTTTTGTTACATTTCAATGAATAAAAAATGTTTGTAAAAGTACTTAAGTGTTTTTGAGAGATGCTAGTTTCATTTAGTAATGTCCTGTGAATAAGAAAAAGGAGGTAGAATGTATGGGAAAAGTAAAGGGAGGAGGGTGAAAATGATTTTTTTTATTTATTAATCTGGCAGATTTTATCACTTTAAACGTTATCTTTAGTAGATACTCATATTTGAGTCGACCCTTTGTTATGAGAAATAAGAGATATGATTATCTGCCCTTGGCAGTTTAAGGTTAGCCAATCAGCTTACAGTTGCTGATCGGTGTGCTTTTCTACCTCTTTTTGAAAAACACACTCTTTTGGTAAAACCTACGAAATGAACACTTGCAGAACCAGCCTGCTTTACACCGTTATCATATAACCACAGAATCCATAGATGGCTAAAACATCAACTCTTCTTCAGTAGATTGGTTGCAGACACCATTAAGTTTGTAAGGACTTATTTGTCATATTGTTTAATACAACTTGTATAAATCGGAGGTCAGTCACATTTTATTCTTTATTTATTACAATGACTGCATCTACCACATGGGTCCCACTTCAATTCCCCATATTGTTTATTTAAAATTGTATTTTATTTTGCCTATCAAATATGTGTATCCACTATTTGTCTAAAAATAATGTTTGAAGTGCTAAAAGTATGTCAGATTAATAAGTAAAAATTCATTATTTCATTAGAAATTGCTTGGTTTATGTTTTGGATATGAAACTGAAGATTTATGAACTTTCTGGAATCAAAGAGAGAGATGTGCTTAAAGGCAATATAGAACTTCATAAACCAGTCAGTTAAAGTATATATATATATATATATATATATATATATATATATATATATATATATATATATATATATATATAGTGAACTGTGGTATCAGTTTCAATGTATGAGGGACTAAAAGTTCAGTTTTACAACTGTACCACCACACAGGGGATTTAGTTATACCGGTGAATGTAAAAGCTGAAAACAGAGAAAAGGTGTACAGTGTGCTACAAAGTCTCCAAAAAGCACTACTAAGGTTTTAAGTTTTCCTTCTAGACTGGTTACCAACCAAGGCTAGAGAGCCTTGTCTGCCCTGCTATTTAACCCACAGCTTGGGCATATATATGTGTATGTGTGTATATATATATATATATGTATATATATAAAAGAGAAAAACATTGAGTAAAAATCCACATTTGGTAGCATTTACTTTTTTAAAAAAATAACATGTATATATATGCACACACACAGATTCTATTAAATGGTTTTAACTTATGGATACTTCATATCTAAAGTGTGTAGATATATACACACACATAAATACATACATATATTTAAGTATGTGGATTTTAAAAAAATGAAAAAGAATCCCAAAATATTTTTGGTGACAGTCATTTACGTATCTCATGGCAATATTATTTTTGTGAAAAAAAAAAAAAAAATCTCAACAGATTTGTATGGTGGGATGTAAATGTAATTTTTCTAATAAAACCCAAAATGTATCTTGCCTATGACCTATGCAATAATTTCCAAAGGAGAAACAATCCATAGAGCTAGAAACAAGGCAACCACAGTGGAATTTCAGTCAGTTAACTAGCACCAATACAGTCTTATAATTCTTCTATCTGCCTGTTCAAAATTCTTACTTATTTTCAAACTTTGTGAATCTTTAAATAAATATTAGAACTTATAAAACTTGAGAAAGGTTGTCTTATTTTCCCCACCATGTTTATTGAACCTTTTATTTTTACAACTGAACCTTTCATTTTTACAATTGTGTGTAATGAAGTGGGTAGCAATAATGCTTTTGAACCACAAGAGACAGAAAAGTGTTGTTAAAGAAATCTTACCAGCAAAATTAGACAAAAAAATAATTGTCTTTGAATTGAATTCCAAATACATAAAAAAAGGAGATTTCTTTTGTCTGTCATTTCTGGAAAACCAGGAGTAAATTCAGACAATTATATATAAACAGAAACAACAAAGATTGAATTTTGCCAGAAATCGGTTGACCAGGTCAATACTGGAAGATAACATTTTAAGGCAAACTGTCTTTGCAATTATAGTGTTTGATATCAATAAATTGTACATTAATAGTAATAATAATAATCATAATAAGTTAAATAAATTTGTTCACTTAACAGTTGAATATTTTGACTGAATTTCATGGAATTGCATCCACTCTTCAAGAGATTTGATAGTGAGCTCTTAGATCTCCAGAAGTGATTTCAAGATATTCAACAGCTAAGTGAATAAATTTAATATATATATATATATATATATATATATATATATATATATATATATATATATTTGCTTGCCTGCAGATGCACACCAACATATTCATATACATCTGCTTATATTTGGCCATTTCATTTATCCATTCTACAACTATATATATATATATATATATATATATATATATATATATAATTTAATTTTAAAATATCCGTATATTGTTCATATAATTATATATGTTAGATCTTATTAAAGGGTACAACAAAGGAATGATTTTTACATTTACCAGATATAAATCACTAGTTAGTATATTTAAGAATTGTTCAAAAGATTTTCGTTAATCAATTGCAACTTGTTATTTATCAAGATCCAAGACCTTAAAGTTTGGGAAAAAAATGGTGAGTAGAGATATTATTTTTTTTTCTCTTTAAAATTCATTTTTTTAAATTTTTTTTATTTATTTCTATATTATGACATTTGTGCATTATGATGAAATAACCCACATAGTAACAAACAAAGAAAATTCTTCTCTGAGCTAATTGTATCAATCAGTTGTTAATTACATTCAAAATCCCAGTATCCTGATAAAGCAGTTTTCGATTCTTTATTCTAGAAAGAGCTTCAGTAATCGTATTCCTTTTATCTTGGGCTTTATATGTTTGTATATTATCAACAAGTTTTGTACAGTAGTACAAGAAATATGAATATTTATATTTATCAATATGAGTATGGTTTGCACTTTAATTAGACAAATGGCAAGCATTTGGTTCTCTGGTGCATATAATCACAGTTTTTGTTCCCAATCATTAAAATCTTTGAACTTGATATGGTCTAAAATGAATAGACAAACATTATAGTTTTTCCATACACTAACCACTGGGCTATATTCACTTGTATGGGAACAAGGAAGGTTAAGTAAAGAATAAGAAAAAAACATTCCTTATTTGTAGCCTTTAATCAAATATATAGTAATAAAGGATTGCTGCCTAGGTACAAATAATATATGTTGAGAAATTTACTTTAATGTTGACACTTTGCTCACTTATGTGAGCTTTTTCGAAACAAATGAAAACTCTAAGGAAAAGCCATTAACATGGAAATCTTGCTATACAAATCATTGTGGCTAATTTGAAGTATAAGAAGATTATCACAGCAATAATTTCTGTTGATATTTTTCACTTGTGTTTTGATAATGCTGACATAAAGTAGTGAAATGTCATCGCTAAAACAAATTTTCCAACACCCAACCGGTTTTCACATGTTCCCTTTTTATCACCCATCAACATACATATATATACATATATATATATATATATATATATATATATATATATATATATATATATATATATATGGATGTATTATTCACTAACCATCAACCTATGCTTAGAAATATAGAAACAAAGTTAAAAAAAAAAAAAAAAAAAAAATCAAAAAACACTCCTGGCCTGTGGCTTTTAACCAAACATGTATTGATGAGGGATTGCTACCTAAGAACATTTATGTATGTTAAAAACTCTTAAAAGTAATGAAAAGCAAAAGCCTTATACTCAATTTGATTTTTTCTATTTTTTTCTTTTCTAAAATTGGGAGAAAAAAATTCTGTACAATCAAATAGCTGTATTTTAGCCTTTTATGAAAATTTCAAAATGAGTACCCTAAAAAAACATAAAAACGAAATATATAAAAAATGTTTCCAGAAAATTTCAGTAAATTTGGGGTCAAAGTTAAATAAAAAAAATTAAAAAGAAAAAGAAGAGAAGTTGTGAATGTCATTTAAAAATTCATAAATGTATCATCCATTTTGTATTATTTTTTTTTTGGACCTTCACATTTTCTTTCTACTTATGACCATCTGCATCCTTTTACACTTTCTCTCTTTTCTTTCTCTCTTAAAAAGAAAAAGAAAATCCATGTGTTCCATGAACAGTTTGTGTGTGTTTTACAATGTCCAAATACTTGCAGACACACAAAGTCCTTTTTTATTTTAATTTTCTTCTGTCAGAGGATGGCATTGGTGTGTGTGAATATATATATATATATATATATATATATATATATGAAATAGAGAAAACAGATTCTCACAGGAAATTTTCACCACTGTTTGGCTTGGCTAACCTTGTGCCATCTGAAGTCGCATGTACTGTAGATTTTCGGATATTTGTGGTTTCTCTGGCATTTCCATTGTCTGTGACTTCTACAAATGCAGTACGAGAACTGATAATACCATCCATATCAATTGGTGCCGTCTCGGGCTCATATCGGAATATTCCAAACCTTCTGCTACACGCTATGCCTGGTAGCCAGATTATTGGTATGATAACTAAACAGATAGCAACAATACTTGCAAACCAGGGGTAATTAGCATCGACGAGCATAGCCTGCAAAGATAGAAACAATTAAAAAGTATTTTTAATAAAATATTAAAAGTTCACATAAGATGCATGATATATATATATATATATATATATATAGTTGCTGAAATGAAAAAGAAAAAACATTGATGAAAGAATATGGAGTATCCCACAATGATTCCATTTCAAAAATGAAAATATTACAGGTTAGCCATCACAATTCTAGCACTAATTTCCAGACTTACGGCCATATCATGTTGAAACACTAGTTCCCATATGATCACCAAAATTAAGCAATGTTGAGCATGTTCAGTACCTAGATGGGTGACCATTTGTGCATATCACAAACTTGGATGTGTGGGTGGTGTAATGGATAGTGATTTGGAATATCTGTCTATATTTTTGAGATGAGGTATTATGTACACTATTTACTTTATTCAGACCATTGTCCTCATCTTTGTCGCCATATTTATCACAATGTTTCGGCCGTTGTATGCTCCGGCTTTCTTCAGGTGGTTGGAATGTTCAGTTCGACATTCCAACCACTTGAAGAAGGCCGGAGTGTACAATGGCCAAAACGTAATAAATATGGCGACAAAGATGAGGACATTAGTCCAAATAATGTAAATAGTGATTTGGAATAGTTGAGAGCTGGGTTCCTATTCCTGTTGGGTTTGTTATATTCACTTATGTGCAAATATCCTTGGGAGAGGTATCAAGGTATTAATCCACTTCTTCTCCCCCACCTATGGGTTAATTAGTAAAATCTGTATCACTAAATCATTATTATCACAAAAAAAAAAAAATAATTTTAATCTAAAAATATCTTCTGGGTTTAAATAATGTACAAAGGGTTGATAATTTCCATGAGAGCCATATTAGATTTTCCCCAAGTCATCACACTGGTGGCAGTTCACTGATAGGTCATATGTTTTTGAGTCTGTTCAAACAATGATAAATTTCTAGTTGCCTCTTGTGTTTTTATTATAACTTGCTGATGAAGCTGCAGTCATGGATCCAATGAATACAAGGTAACTAGTCTATTCACTAAAAAATAGGGAATAATTTGTTTTAGAAAAATTTTTGTAGACTAGCATTTATTAGACCCTACTCTACCAGCAACATTTGTCTTCTAATAACATATTGAAGTGTTTTTGATTATTTTAGAAGTGATGTCTTGTTCATGGTCAGTATTTAATCGATCACTGAGTACTATGCAGTTATCATTGAAAATGTGCACAATTTCAATTTCAACTTTTGTAAATACAAACAAAGTACAGAAAATTCTTGATGAACTTGGGGATTGATTTAACATTTTATTCATATTATCAACATTATTATTATTATTCTGATGAATGTCTTGGGTAAAGGAAGTTTTAATGAAAAAGGTCAGTACCATTAAACTGTGCACTAAGAAACCACAATGTCGCTTAAGCTGCGTATATGTGATGGCCCACAAAATTTTTTGTCATGTTCATATTAAAATCATAATCATCAGTGGATTCCAATTTGAAACAAATTCAAACTTGATTGTGACACTTTTTAAAGTCTGATTTTTTTCTGTATAATCTTTTATTTTAATATTCCATTTTTGTGGATAAATCCATGAACTTGACAAGCTTTGTTTTCATGGTCTAAGCCAGCAATCCAATCACATTGCAGCTCACTTTTGATCTAAACCATGGACCATCTAAACTGCAGATAGAAGTTTTGGATGCCAACTACTACAGTTTATCAGCACTGACCTGTACTAATTTATGAAAAATTATTAAAAAAGAAAAAAAAGAAAAAAAGCCCCCTATCTTTTATGAGTGGACCAGTTAACCTAAGTAGTATGTAAATGTTTCTCCAAGTGTAAAGTGTGATGTACAGACACCATATGTAGTTCATAACAGATAGGTAGATCTTCTGAAAAAAATTTGACAGTAGCAGGTTTGTGTGGTACTTGTCAGATTTATATAGTATTGGTTCATCTACAGTTTATGACATAAAAACAGATAGAAAAATAATATAACCACCAGTTATCCGGCATCATAAATGACAGTTTTTCCCTTGACACTGCTATTATTTTAACTACCTTCACTCCTTGGCAATGTTTAAAAACGCAATGATTAGAATTTTAATAAAACCTAGACATATGAAAGTAAATTTATACATTTTCTTTGCTCTGTTATAATTGTCTGAGAGAGCTTTTTTTGCCTTCCATCAGCATGGCTGATGCTAACCTCCAGGATGGTGACTTATTGCACCTACTCAGGCAAACATTTTTCACTGACAGGAAGTGGAACGATTATATTGAATCAATTGCTAGGTCTGTTGCTTGAAAAGTTGGTCCATTGTGTTGTGCTAGACAATTTTTTCTAGCCAGAATCTATCTTACACCTTCATAAGTCTACCATTTGTCTATGCATTGAACATTGCAGTCATCTCTGGTCTTGTACTTCTGATATGTATCTTGAAATTCTTAGCAGAATCCAAAGAAGAATCTGCTGTGTTATTGGTCCTGACCTGGCATCTCAGCTTCATTCAGTTTTGTATTGCAATAACGTAGCTCCCCTGAATGCTTTTTTTTCTAAATACTTTCATGGTAACTGTTCTGATGAGCTTTCCTCTTTGGTAGCAAGACTTTATGAATTTAAATGCAGTACTAGATTGGCAGCTAGGTCTCATCATTTTACAGTTGAAATAGCTAGGTGTAACCATAAGTTCTTTGCTAACAGTTTTTTTTTCTCGCACTTCTTGCTGGTGGAATTCTCTCCTGGCATCATGCTTCCCAGTCAACTTTGACCTTCAAAAATTGAAATTCAATGTCAATTGTTATCCTTTGTCTTTTTAATTCCTCTTCTTTTATTGTTCTTGCTCTTTAATATTATTATTTTTCTCATATTCTTTCACACTCAGTAACATCTTCCAGTGGCTTTATTGACTTGCTTGGGATGACATATATATATATATATATATGAGAGAGAGAGGGGAAAAAATGTGCCAGTAACAACACTGTAGATAGTGAAATTAGTGAACCAAGTTCAAATTGCAACTTAGTTGCATTCGCTTTTGCACTAATGCCCTTGGAAAAGCATGTATCTCCTTTTAGTATCCTGATACCACTTTCTTATCAATGTTGAATTTTGTACAAAATCTGTGCAAAAAGTGAATCAAGGAGCTTACCCAACTTCATACATATTTTCTGGAAATCTCAACTTCTAATTGGTTAATAAACACACAAGTGGGTGTTGCAATCTACCCATATACAAGTTTTTTTCAAGTTAGTGATCAAGTCAAGTTTTCCTGCTTTTTTTCCAAGATCCTACCATGTGGTACCAGACAGGAGTTTATTCTCTCCCTATCTCTTCCATGATTTCTCTTGCTACAAAATGTAGTTGTAAAAAGGATTTGAGTCTTGACCACGTGCAGTCAGATGCTTATGAAAACATATTCACACGCGCACACATGCATGTTTGTATGAAAATTTCCAAACTACACTACAAACACACAAAACATTTCCAAACCAGCAACAAGAACTTTTCCCTTTAAAAATACTCTGATCAAACTTATGCGCACGTCTTTACAAAACAAAATTTTAATATTCTGCATATAAAAAATTTACTTGTTGTTTCAAACATCATTTTTGTCATAATTGAATATCGTTATTATTTGATTTTTTATTTAAATTTATGTTTGTGGATGTTGCATGTTTCATTTACAGTGAAACCTTTAAAATATTCATGCAGCCTTCTCAGATCCACTACACCATCATAAAAAGGAACGTAAACTCGGCTTTCCAGCCTTGGTTGGCATCCAGTGTAGAAGGAAGACAGTTCTGAATTCAAAACAGTGGAAAAGGCAATGGGAAGCCAATCCACTCTCTTTCCCCCAAAATGTATGTAATTTAAAAGAAAAAAAAGTTGAACAGACATTTTAAAGTCATAAACTATGATAAAGAAGAAATGAAATATATGGTGAGTTCTATGCAATCTACATAGTTTGATGGATTCCTAGTGTAAATCCTATTAATAAGCAAGAATGAATTTGTTTGAACAAGGGAGATAATTAGCCAATCTTAACAAAAATGCATAAACATATTTTCCAATACGTATTTAACTATTAAAAATAATAACCAAGGTATCTTCTGAGAATGTCGATCCTCGCAAAGAAAAATAGAAGTCGGTATTATTATATTTTTAAACGAAGTATAGTCGATATTAAACTATATATCATTTTAAAGTTATTATTAAAGTGTTAATTTAAGGGAAGTTACTCATCATTGACTAAAGTAGTAGTTACTTCCCTTGTTACACTTAAATTTTTTTAATTTTTTTGTTCGCGGTTACATTACACGACATTTTTACAAGCAGTTTAGGATTTTGAACAGGACTTAGATTGTTTAATTTTTTTTTATCTAACTGGTTGCTTATTTTTTATGTTTGTGTCTAATAAATAGAAAAGATATTTCAATGTAAATAAACAAGTAGAATTAAATTGAAATGAAAGTTTTCCTGAACGGCCATTGCTCTCTAGACTTTTAAATTAATGCAGGTGTCTCCTTTATCCTTGGACAAATTGTTCTTAATTTACATAAACGACCTTCCTGATGCATCAGTTCTCAAATCGGTATTTATGCTGATGATAGTTCAATAACATAAAATTGGAAGCTAATCTAAAAAAGGATCTACTTTCTGTTGTTGACTGGAGCAAGGAATGATTTATCAATTTTAACAGTTCCAAAATGAAATCTCTTTCTTTTAATTGTCTGAGAGAATCCTTTTTACTGTCCATCAACATGGCTGATGCTAACCTCCAGGAGAGTGATTTATTGCACCATCTCAGACTAAAGTTTTCTGCTGATATGAAGTGGAAATATTACAGGGCATGATAGATAAATTGTTATTTAAATGATGACTTCAGAATCTCCTGCAACTCTTCTGGATGGTCTCCTTGTTTAAGTTGGTGAATGCTGCCATAATACTTGCCATCAGTTCATCTTTGGTGTTAAAAGTTAAAAATTTCCTGTGCTGCACCAGGAAATTTTTCTCACTGGAGTCAATCATTCAAATCTACAAATCAACCATTCGCCCTTGCATGGAGTGTTGCAGCCATATATGGTCTGGTGCCCCTTATGTTTGTCTCGAGGTTCTTGATAAGATCCAAAGACGGATATGCAATGTAATTGGCCCTGATCTGGCATCTTGTCTGCAGTCGCTCTCTCACAGACGTGTCCTTGCTTCCCTCTGTCTTTTTTTACAAATACTTTCATGGTAACTGCTCCAAGGAGCTGCTTTCACTGGTTCCAAAACTTCATGAATTTAAGCATTCTACTAGGCTGGCATTTCGCTCACACCCTTTCACTTTCAAAAAATTATCTATGTCAGAAGAAGCAAAATAAATTTATAATTAAATAAGAGTAAGACAATTATGTATTATAAAAAAAACAAAAAAAAAACACCAAAAACAAGAACCAAAATAAATTTACCTTATTTTTGTCATAGGCACGGTATGTCACTGGATCAATAAATTTTGTCACAATAGTTGAGACAAGGAGAATCAAAATTAGTGCTGGAGAGACAAATTTCCAAATGACACGCCAATAAATGTTAGGACGGATCCCAATCATGCTGTAGATGTCATTGCAGAAACTGAAACGGAACAAAGAAAAGGAGTAAGAACCTGTGAAGTTAAAGGTAACAATACATAAGTTCTGAGAGTGATAGGGTTGATGTACAAAAGAGTTGCAACATGTAATTTAAAAAAAAAAAAAAACTAAAGAAAATACAAAAATCCCCAACTTAAGCATCATGACGAAGCACACAATATGGTAAAAGATAAAATCATTCTGGATATGACGATAAACTACATCCAGCAGCAAGGCCTCCAATTGAAAAGTTTTGAAGAGTGTGGAACCACTTCTTAATTGCTGTTGCTCCCAGGTCCACATTGACCTGGCATGGTAGCACCTGTTAGGGTCCCAGCTATGAGCAAATAGTTAACCCCCAAACTGGGGTCAGAACATTATGAAAGTATAAAAATACATTTTCACAGTAAAAAAAATTACCAGCAATATGTTTTCATAATAACAAGAAAAAATATTACCAGAAATAAATTTTTGTAAAATAGTGCTCCCAAGAAAATTAAATTTGGTATTAAATGACCCATAAGGTGTTGATATGCCGCAAACCAAAAAAACAAACAAACAAAAAAGCTAATATAGTAAAAAAAGAATAACAAAAAAAATGTTTTATCTTATTTTTATAGTCAGCTGATAGTAGATATGGAAAGAAAACTACAAAAGCTCCTACAGAAAGTAAGGAAGGAAAGCAAGAAAAAGAAGTAAACATTGATTGCAAGAAGACAGAATTCATGGTTGTTAGCAAAAGGGACACAGCCAAAAATGCAAATTATAAACTAGAGATATCAAAATTAAATGAGTAGAAAAAATTTAAATATCTAGGAAGTGTTCTGACAGAAAAATGAAAATGTGACTCTGAAATTCAAAGATGCATTGAGATAACCAAAAATGCCTTTCAAAAGCTAAGCAGTGTATTAAGAAACAGAAAACTTTGTTAGAAACGAGTACTGAACTGTTATGTGATATCTGTCTTCCTAGATGGCAGTGAATGTTGGACAGTCTCCTCAAACATGAAGAAGAAATATGAAGCAACAGAGATGTGGTTCTACAGAAGGATACTGAGATATCATAATTATGCCAAAGGAGAGAAAGAGAAAATTATATTTACATAGAACTCATAAAAAGAAAGAAAACATTTATAGGCACAGCTGTCATATGCGTGTGTGATGTCCACGTGGTCTATTTGAAATTATGTATCCAGTTTGCCAAGCAGCTAATTCTTCCCTGGAAGAGGAGGACTGGAGACATCTACCTCCCAACCACATCCTCAAGCAAAAAGAAAGAAAGGATTTCCTTCCTTTTACAGTCCTGAAACAAGATTCAGTTAAGCCTATTTAAATGCCACATTAAAAAGTCGTGGCTACTCTATCACTATTTCTATTGCAAATGTTTTACATAAGCTCCATAATCTAGCTTCATATCTCGCACCTCTCGCCTGTGGAACTCCCTTCCCTATTCCAGTTTCCTTGAGAGCTATAATCTCCAAATATTCAAATGTAATGTCAATCAACATCTCCAGTTGCCGTGATCTATTCACTATCCTTCTCCTCATCCCTTCCTCTATCACTCCTATCTGATCTTGCCCCAAATCTTCTGTAACCCCTTGCGTCCTAGTGTCTTCCCGCCTTGCTTGGGGTGAAGTGCTTAAGAAAAAAAAAAAAAAAAAAAAAAAAGTTCTGTCAATTTCAATCTGCAAAACTTGGATACAACTTGCTACCTCCAGAGAGACAAATCACCTTCATTTCCCCTGTATGCTATGATTAACTTCCTTTAGGAAATTAAAAAAAAAAAAAGGAAACAAACAGAAAGAGACTTTTGAAATTTCTGGAACTCAATGAAGAAAGGGAGCTTGGAGAGTTTAACACACACAATACAAACTGAATATAAGCAATGCGGGGGGGGGTGGAGAAACAAGTAAACTACATAACAAGCTTGTAAAAATGGATTGCAGATCAATGACAAAGACGGATGACAAAAGAGGAAAAATTTACAACAATACACAGGAGGTATATCCCTTGTTTCCTGTTTAGGATTAGATTTCCGGTTCCTTCTAACATCTTTTTAATTATCTTCTACTCTTCGAAGAGACCTCGCGTTTTAGTGGTACTATCACCTTGATTGGGTGAATTGATAAAAAAAAAAAAGTTGAATAAGGCTTTGTTCGCACATATTCCGAAAGGATAGGATATATAAAAGAAAAAGAATGATTTATCTCCCTTTAATGATTTCTCTCTCTCCTTAATTATCCCCCTTTAATTATTTATGTTATAAAAATTAAATCCACGTTTAATTAATAATAACTGATTTTTGGTAATCGGGGATTAAGAAGGACTACCTCATTGTACTAAGTGTTGAGTCAGTGATATACCTTGATGTCCAATGACACTATAGAATAATTTTTTAAATAACCAATCATAAACAAAAGGTAAGATTAGCCATTTCCATACAAGGAACATTACATGTTCATTGACCAAAAAGTGTTACTCATAGTTTAAATTTATAAAATCTTTTACTGAAAACGGTTTTCCCGGACAATAGGCTTCTCAAGTTCATTGTTATTGCTCTTTCAAGTGTTGAGAGGAATCTGGTAACTGGGAATTCACCTCTCAGGCAGACCCATCCCATTGCACTAAGGATGATAGTGTTGCGGACTGGTGTATGTGCTGGGAGATAAACATGTGTGTCTCCTGAAATGCCCACAACAAACATAGTAGACTTGGAGTATGAGTCCACCAAAAGAAATGTAAAGAAATAGCAAGGACCGATATGTACAAACAAATGATAATGTATTAACAACAAAAGGGTTACAAGTACTAAAGGCAATATTATGTGTAACAAATGAATATAGAAACTTTTTGGTCCAAACTATGTGTAGTGAGTGAATGTACATCCATACGTTTGCATGTGTGTGGATGTATTGTTCATGCATTTCCCAAAAAGTGAATGTGATCTCATTTTAGAGATTTACATGTTGTTGTATAAGCAGAAAATAAGAAGAAGAGGGCAAGAAAAGATATCACCAAGTATTTATAGTCCGGAAAGTTTCCCCTAATAGCGGTTTCAAAAATCAGGAGGAGGTAACCCAATAGTACATTAGCAAAAAAGGTTAACTTTTTTTAGTTTCATGAATTTCCCAAAAAGGGAAAAATGTGATTTTCTGCGAGAGATTTGCACCTTGTCGTATAAGCGGAAAAGTAAGAAGAGAGAGAGTGCAAATAATTATCACAGAGTATTTATAGTGCTGGAAAACATCCCCTAGGAGCAGTTTTGAAAATTCAGAGGAAATAACCTGACAGTACATTAGCAAGGGAGATATACATTTTAAGCAAGTGAGCTAATTCACCAATAGTCATATTGGTGGATGTGACAATAGGATACACAGAAGGAAAAAGTAATTGTAATTAATAACAAACACTTACTTGTTGACTCCATATTTATATGCAACAGCAACAATTTCCAATAACGCCACAATCATGAGGGCAAACGTTCCTGAGAAAAAGTCAAAGAGTTCCACCCAGTAGGCACCACTGTTAAATGTGAATACAATGCCGACCGTAAAGCTGAATAAGCACAGAGCACCTAAAAAGAAAATAAGAAATATAGCTTCGAACTATCAATTGTTTTAAAAGGCAAAATAAATCACTTTATTCTTATTCAGTTTATACAGAGTGTTCATAAATTAACTGTACAACTCCCACAGTTTATTGTATCCATAGGAAATGATGCAATTTCCCATCAAGGAAAGTTTGAGAAAAATCGGATCAACTTTGGCGCAATTCTTAATCTATAAAAGACGTCTACACCTGTTTTCTAAAAAGATAAAACACTCGACCACATTTTTTGACCAATCAGGTGTACAAAAAAATACGCAGTCACTTCATAAGACATTTGTGGAGCTAACACATGTGCGTGATATCATCAGAATGTTTAAAAAATGAGAATATTTTCAAACCACTTCAGAACAGTTCACTTGCTTGGCAAAATGAATACAACTGTGTCTCACTGCAGCCTGCTCCTTTGACTGCTGAACGAACAGTATCAAACTTACAAAGTTCTCCTTGGCGATAATACTTTTGACACTTCACAGCTGCTGACATTTCTCTATAACTCTCAGAGACTTTAAAGAAAAACAAAACATGAACGATTAATTTTTGTTTTCAGATTTTTACACAAGTTCTTGTGTTGTAAAAGAAAAGGTAAATAAAAACTTCTTTATTTTGTGGCACTCATGTTATTTGTTTTCTATTAACATTAGTACACTACAGTATCCATTAGAGTTAAAATCCATCAATACGCTTCTTTGCATGTTAAACGTGGAACTTCACGTCCACAAAAAAATGATGTGTCAAAAGAACAGTTCTTCCTACGACACCAACTTTATTTTAACTACCTTTATTCTTTGACAAAGTCTATTATCCAAAAAGTGATGATTAGAATTTTAATAGAACGTAAACATGTGATGAAAGTAAATTTGCACATTTTTTTGTTCTTGAGAATTTACAGCAAAAATATTAAACACTATTTATTAGATTCTTTATTTACAAGAATAATTTTATATTTACAACATTCTAAAAACTAATATAATTGTATTTAAACTAATGCAATATTTATCATTTGCCTTTTTATAAAGAAATAAATATGAAAATGTTTTTACTTATAAATTTATAAGCATTTACTAAATTATTAAAATATGCGAACTATAAGGAAATCCTTATTTATCATTTTATAAAGTTTGAATTGATTGGCAATTAGTTGGTGTTTTGTCAACCATTCCAATAAACAATAAATAGTCAAAATAAACAATTTAATAGTAATTATTATTTTTATTGTCAATTCTCAAGAACAAAGAAAATGTATGAATTCACTTCCATATATTTATGTTTTATTACAGTTCTAATTATCACTTTTTAAAACAATCAACATTGCCGAGGAGTAAAGGTAGTTTAGATAACAGAGATATCAATAGAAAAAACATCTTTTGACACTGTTTTTTTTTGTTGCAGATATGAAGGTCTATGTTTGCCGAAAAACTATTAGTTTTAATTGATATGCAGTTAATTTTTAATTCCCTTTCATTTGTCTTTTCATGTAGATGTTAAAAGCACTTTTAAAATCTAGAATTTTTATGAAAATGACAATACTGCAAGAGAAAGGTCAACATGTGTCCTGGTTCATAGAAACCAAATCAGACACACAGGTACAGCGTCATTACAGTAAAAAGTAAGAAAAAAAAATCTATCAAACACAAAGCAGTGTTAGTATCCATATCTGGTACAAGAAGTTTATGCAAACAGAAATTGAGTACATTCAAGATATGCTGCATTCAAACAATGGAGCCCAACTGGAAGTGTTTTGACGAGTTTAAATAAAACTTTATTTGTTTACTTATATTTTTTCAATAAAACTTGTATTTTTTTCAATTGTACAGATAATTTATGGACACCCTGTATTGTTCATAAGGCCTTCAAAAGAATATTCTTTTAATATTGTAGAAAAGAAATGATTTAAAAAAAAGTAGTTCAATTATTTTGACTTTATAGGAAACAAACCAGTGTAAAAAAAAGCAAACATTTTATCAGAGAGGATTATGAATATTGTATACAATTTACTTGACATAACAAGTTCCAGTAAGCAGAGTGACTGTTTTTTACTACCAATATCACCAACAGTATGGAAATTATATTTATATTATAGAGAATATGGATTGCGAATTTGACAATATATTTTTATTTTTTGGGGTTTTCTAAGAAATACAGAAAAAGTAGAAAGAGAGGAGAAAGTCCAAAAGAAAAGAAGAAACAACTACAGAGAAAAAGAAAGAGGTAATACAAGATAAAAATAGAGAGAGAAAGAAGAAGGATAAAAATAGAGAGAGAAAGAAGAAGGATAAAAATAGAGAGAGAAAGGAGAAAGATAAAAATAGAGAGAGAAAGAAGAAGGATAAAAATAGAGAGAGAAAGAAGAAAGATAAAAATAGAGAGAGAAAGGAGAAAGATAAAAATAGAGAGAGAAAGAAGAAAGATAAAAATAGAGAGAGAAAGAAGAAAGATAAAAATAGAGAGAGAGAGAAGAAAGATAAAAATAGAGAGAAAAGAATGATAAAAATAGAGAGGAGAAAGAAGATAAAAATAGAGAAAGAAGATAAAAATAGAGAGAGAAGATAAAAATAGAGGGAGAAGATAAAAATAGAGAGAAAGAAGAAAGATAAAAATAGAGAGAGAAAAGAAGAAAGAGAAAATAGAGAGAGAAAGAAATAGATAAAAATAGAAAGAGAAGAAAGAAATATATATAGAAAGATAAAAGAGAAATATAAAAAGAGATAAAAGAGAAAAATAAAGAGAAGAAAGAGAAAAATAGAAGAAAAAGCAAAAAATAGAGAGAAGAAAGAGAAATGAAGGAACATCTAAAGCAAGGGAAGTAAAAGAACAATGGGAGAAAGAGAGAAACAAAAGAAATAACAAATGAAGAAAGAGAAGAAAAAAGAAAGAAAAATAAAAAAAGGAGAAGGAACAATGAAGAGATGAAAAAAGAAAATAGAAAAATAAGAAAGTGCAAAGACAACCAGAAAAGAAAGATAAAAGAGGAAAAGAAAACATATAAAGAA